TATTCAGAACTTCCATTTCTTGCCAGCAATATCCTTTCTTTTTGTCATCTTACCCTATTTTTCATTTTGCTGTCTCTGTCCCCACTGCACCAAAACATGCACGCTTCCTGTTTGAATTTATAAAAAAAAAAACCCCACCTTCAAACCCTTTCTATACAGCTAAAGAGCAATTGGGGCATGACTGAGAGCGAGTTGGCAGAAGCCCTGAAACGACTGACGTGAGTTTACATCAATTTCCAGGGACTTATGTCAAGCTCTGTACTCAAGGCCTGTGCCATGGATGGTTGATTTGGCTTTTGCTTGCTATTGAGAGGTGAAACAGTGGCAGTAATGAGGGCAACTTTATTTCACTTGTGGTTTTGTAAGCAGGGGTGCTTTTATTGATTCATTTATTTAATATGCATAGGTGGTTTGTGTCCTAGCTGCTTTTAGGCTGCGTTATTGCATCCAGATGGGGATACACCTTGATCTGGTCAGAAGCTGGAGTTATTGCATGTGCCTCAAGAAGGAAGGAATGCGTTTCCTGTGGTATTTGAATCCCTTCCAAACTGGGGCTATTTTCTAGGCGTGTTGTTACTTTCTGCTCCAAAAACCTGAGGGCTCCATTGTGCAGTGTTTTATTTTCCACACATCATCCTATGCTGGATAGCTAGGAATTCTGGATCTGCAGCCACATCCCAGATCTGTATTTGTCTTGGAGTAATAGGGATTCCTCCCCCCTTCCTATGGGCAGCAAATCAAACCCAGCTGTGCAATTGTAGCCAGAGTAGGCTTTGGAAGAAGCATGGTCAGGCATTCATTCCACATGATTCAATAAGCCAAACAGCCTCAAATTAAGAATATAACGCATAAGGTTGTATTTCATGTGCTTGATCTCATTCCCATTTGTGATTGAATCTGGACCAGTTCAGAAGCCACACACACCAGTGTGGCATAGAAAGGGCAGGTGAGAAAGACTCCTGGAATCAGCAGATACTATTGTTCCTTGGCTTGTGGCTATGGTCATGCCTTTTACAGCTGCTATTGAAGGAAGTACAAGTACAACAAGGGAATTTTTTTGACCTTACACACTTAAACTCATTTGCAAATGGCATACAAACAAAATGTCACTCCTTTATGTCTCTTACAGTTAACAAGGCACATCCATTTTTTATGCTTGCTGGATCTATTACATGGGAGAAAGACACTACCTCCATATAGAGCCTACATTCAAAAAAGTTAAATTGAGCAATCATATAGGAAAGGGGCTTGCTTTCTGCACACAGGGCCATAGGTTATTTATATTTAATATGTGACATCTGGCATTTAAAATAATTTCTTTGGCTAATTACCAGTGCCTAGGTGAAACGTGAAACTTCTGCCATTGGGGAATTAAAAGGAAAACAAAACCAGAAGTAGATTGCATAGCATTGGAAAGGTCTGTAGGAAAATTAGGAGTTGTCCTAATTCAGGCATTAGAATACATGGTAACAGAAGATAGAGTAATAGGGAATCATGTGACAGAACATGGATGGATTTTATGTTTCCAGTGAAAATCTGCAGTCATCTTTTTCATGCTTCCTGAGCCATGACTGTTAATTACAGCACTCCTATCTACATCTTGTGCTCAGTGTTTGATCAATGAGGCATTTGTAATAGCAAGATTACAAAGTCTAAAAGAGAAAAAGATTGCCTACAAGGTGTGTGTTGACAAAACCATACCTACATAAAAACTTAATGAGGTCACACTCACAGTCTCATTTAACCATTTTACAGTTTTCCCAAGAAGTTTCATCGCTCTCCTAAACTTAACTGCAGTCATATTTGTAGATTTTAATATCTTTTTCTTCAGTATAATTGTACATTAAACAATCCTTGCTTTGCTTTATTGGTTAAGTTTGCCATGTAAAGCAGACATTACTTCATAAAGTTTGCTGCTGCTTTATGTTCCCATAGTTTTACAGAGCAGGTTGGAATCCCCCCCATCAGACATGTTAAAAAGACTAGAGGGTCTAGAAATCTGGCATTTATCTGCATGGCTCTCTTCAAAAAATTACATTCATAGTACTTTGCTGTCAGATCATCAAGTAAAAGCAAAGTAAAGTTATCAGCTACATTATTACTCATATCAATATATAAGGACTTTCCAGGCATGAGTATTTGCTTCTGAAATGATTGCTTTTACAGATACCTTAGAGTCTTATTACAAAGCCTAAAGTGGTTTGTGAGTGAAATCAGATGACAATCGAGATTGCTACCAGAATGAGAACAAACTCCTCTAATGCACAGTGATGTTTGCATAAGATAAATATTTGTGGAAACTCAAATGAGGTTTCATAAAAGCTCTTAGGCTTGATACACAGACTAAGGTGGCATTTTACTTACTTTTCCAGATTTTAACTTCTTTTTTTGACTGTTCATTAGCCAGCAGACAGTCCTCTGGTACAGGACTGGGATACAGAAAATACAGATTCTATTCCAAGCTTTTAATTTCTTGTAGTCTAATTTTCAGACTTTCTCAAAGCAGCACGAATAACTTGCTATTTATATAGACTCTAAAAACACTGCTTTTGTTTCCCTTTAAGGTGAGGGGAATAAAACTTCTATTGTTCCTCTTTTCACTTAGATTGGAAATGGGCCTCCAAGTAATGACTCTCAAGTCCGGAATAATTATACACTGTGTTTGAAGAGTCAAGCAGCCTGGCTAGATGATATGGGCTAATATTTCTCTTTGTACTGGAAAAGGAGAAGCATCACACAACTGGTTTTTAGAGCAAAATAGAACTCTGAGCCTTTAGCTAAGTCTACTGTAGGATCTATACATACTGTGATACTGCTGTGATATGGTTTTGTTTCGTTCAAGTGTAATGTCTGTGCAGTTTAAGGTGTACCAGTTTTTCTGTATTCCAGATGTTTGTTGTTCTTTAATTAGCTTAGAGATAACCACAATTCATGTCCTTAAGTCATTCTTCCTTTTAAATTGTAATTTAATAAATGATACATAGCCCTTGCTTATCAGTAAATTAAGGTTTCTTTATCAGTACATTACTTGTCTTCAGGGGTAGCAAAAGAATATTTTAGAATCATAGAATCATAGAATAGTTAGAGTTGGAAAGGACCTTAAGATCATCTAGTTCCAACCCCGCTGCCATGGGCAGGGACACCTCACTCTAAACCATCTCACCCAAGGCCTTGTCCAACCTGGCCTTGAACACCTCTAGGGATGGAACATTCACAACCTCCCTGGGCAACCTATTCCAGTGCCTCACCACCCTAACAGGAAAGAATTTCCTCCTTATATCCAATCTAAACTTCCCCTGTTTAAGTTTTAACCCATTACCCCTTGTCCTATCACTACAGTCCCTAATGAAGAGTCCCTCCCCAGTATCCCTATAGGCCCCCTTCAGATACTGGAAGGCTGCTATGAGGTCTCCATGCAGCCTTCTCTTCTCCAGGCTGAACAGCCCCAACTTTCTCAGCCGATTTTCATATGGGAGGTGCTCCAGTCCCCTGATCATTCTCATGGCCCTCCTCTGGACTTGTTCCAACAGTTCCGTGTCCTTTTTATGTTGAGGACAGCAGAACTGCACACAGTACTCCAAGTGAGGTCTCAAGAGAGCAAAGGGGCAGGATCACTTTCTTCCACCTGCTGGTCATGCTCCTTCTGATGCAGCCCAGGATATGGTTGGCTTTCTGGGCTGCAAGCACACACTGCCAACTCATGTTCATTTTCTCATCGACCAGCACCCCCAAGTCCTTCCCCTCAGGGCTGCTGTGAATCTCTTCTCTGCCCAACCTGTAGCTGTGCCTGGGATTGCTCCCACCCAGGTGTAGGACCTTGCACTTGGCATGGTTAAATTTCATGAGGTTGGCATCAGCCCACCTCACGAGCGTGTCAAGGTCCCTCTGGATGGCATTCCTTCCCTCCAGTGTATCAACCGAACCACACAGCTTGGTGTCATCGGCAAGCTTGCTGAGGGTGCACTCAATCCCACTGTCCGTGCCAGTGACAAAGATGTTGAACAAGACTGGTCCCAACATCAATCCCTGAGGGACACCACTCATTACTTTATCCCTCCATTTTCCCTCATTACAGCTTTTCAGCAGAATTCATAATAAGCAACCAACATAATTTTATTAATGATTTTTCTTGATAGGCATATTTCCAGGTTTCTGTACAAAGCCTGATGGGCTCACTGTTCAGTGAGGAGGTCTGTCAGCCTTGATCAAGTTACTCTTTCATCCTTGACTCAGACTAAGCTAACGTAAAACAATAGCTTTTAATGCTATGGAAAACCTGAAAGGCTCACTGGTAGTTTGGATGTTCAACGTCTACCTTTCCTTCATGGAACTGGATCTGTTTTGCACTCATTAGATGATGTATGCTTGCACCACTTGCCTGATGAGCTTTCTGACCTGAATTCTTAATCTGGATACAAGAGGTTTCAGCTGAGAGGCAAGAGGTGTTGAGCAGGATTGCCATATCCCCACTGTGGCAGGTGCTTTTCTGCCTTTTTTGCTGTGATCCATTCCAGTATAAAGTCAAACAGACCAGCCAGGTGGTTTGCATTTATTTTTCCCTTTGCACTGGAATAGGGGCAGTAGTTTTCATTAGCAGCTCCTGCCTCTCAGTTGTTTAGTTGATTGAGTTTCCGCCTGGCTTGCCGTCCAGATTGCGTGTGAGGGCGTTGATTCTTCTTTGACAGAGCAAAGGCTGGGAGGTTTAATTCAGTCACAGAATCAATCCTTATACAGCGTGTCATCTGATATTATGCTGCTAGTATGGGTCTGTATCTTTCTGCTGTAAGCCCTTCCCAGGAATGGGCTTAGCTGCAACCTCTGCCTCCTTATGTGTCAGACTGGATTGGGATAAAGATACTGCTATATATTAAAAATGTATGGAAAGTAGAAAAGAGCAAACACAGAAAGGAATAACTAAGTATTCTTCCAGGCTGGATAATGAGATATTCCATTAATGAAGTCATCACAGCAAGTTGTGGAAGAATATCACTAATACCTCACCCATTTAAAATTAATTTATTTTTACTGTATTTGCAGATCCTGTATATCAATTCCCAGAGATGTATAAACAATGATTAAGCTGTTAATTTGTATTGAACAAAACAGCAGAGTTTCAGTGAATGCTCACTGAGACTTCTATTTTGAACACATGTAAAAAATCCATTTTATCCCAAGGATTCATACCATACAGTCAGTCCTTTTGCTTTCATTATAAAAAAGGCCACAGATGTGTTAATATGAACAAATTATCTGCCTGCAAATGCAAAATTAAATGCTTGACCTGCTGCTTCCTCCTTTAGAGACCAAGGCTTGCTGCTCCCATACATTCAAAAGAAGTAATACCAATAAGCCACAAGGTGGTAATTAATGATAAGCTCCAGAAAAATATTTTCAGGTTAAAAAAAAACAGTAAGAAAAGACTAAACTTGTTAAATTCAACATCATGACTTTGTTTGATCAGTAAATAATTCTATGAGGACCTTACCAAACTTAAATAATTATCTTCCTATTATAAAATGAAATTTGTCTGAAACAACTGTATAAGCCATGACATTAATAGTGATTCATGTTAAACCATGTTAAAATAAAGAATACATCCATTCTAAAGCATAATACAGTCTTTTGAGGGTTGAAATTCTTTTCTTTTTCTCATGTACTTCACTGCATAATGTCCTTTTGAGGCATTAAAATTGCTTGAGATTGACAGACTGAAGATATGGTTAAGTGTACAACATGTTGTGTGCCTTTATTACTTAAACTGTTCTCCACTTTACGTTTAAAGTGTTTGAGACTGCACTGGTTACTGGCAAAAAAAAATAATTATTAATTTTACTCTTACTCAGTTTGGGCTTTTTTATAAAGCATTTACTGATATCAAGGCTCACAATCTGTTGATTGATCAAAAACCAGCCTACAGTTGCAAAATGTATAATTGGAAAATTGCACAGCATGCAGGCTACTTTCTAATCCTTTCAATTACATCTAGTTTCTGGCCTTGTTAGGCAAAAATGGCATAGCAGCTGCATCTAGAATGGTAGTAACAACTGGGAAGGAAAGAATACAATGTAATAGAAACTGGTCATCTCCATGATAAAGGTAAATTATTGGTAACAAGTAGTTTAATATCCCTAGATGAAAGACACTATATGAAAGCTCAAAGCTAATTAGGGAGAATGTACAATGGAAGATGAGAAGTATATTAGAAAATCTCTACATACTATATATGTAATATCCATGAAGTTATAGAACCAGAGCAAAACGATGTTTTCTCCATGAAAAAATAAATTTCTTAAACAAAAACACCCAAGAAGGAGACAAGGTTTGTGGAAGATGCTGAGTTGGCAACTCCAAAGAAAAGTAATTAGCACAAAACCTGGTTTAGGCAGCAAATTATAAACAAACTGGTGCCCTACATTGTGAACTCCAGTGAGTACACTCCAGCAATCTTTGGTCCATTCTAGGAAAACTGACATTTGCAATAATGATACCAGAGATACAGAGATGGAGGTGTCTGTGGTATATTGCCATCTGCAGACTATATCAAACACTGCTAAACTATTTGTTGGAAATAGATTCATGTCAGAAGTGGTTTGGTATGGCTTCAACTGATATCCTGAAAATTAAAAGATTCCAAAGACTTCTGCAAACCATCTTCAAGGCCTTTTCCACAGATGTAAGACTAAAACAAACCAGAGTTTTAGCAATGACTGCTATGAGACAAGTATCTGGATGAAAAAGAATGCAAAACCCCTGAAGATAAGGGCTTCTGAAAGCAGAACTATTGCATGACACAGAGTAAAATATTCTTTCATGGGGACATAATGAGGTTTTAAAGGTAAGATTTTTATACAGATAATACAATGGGGAAAAATGCACAAACCCAGACAGTTTTGTGACCATTTGAGAAAGAAATAAAAATAAAAAAAATCAAGGAAGAGCAAGAAGATCCTTCAGTTGGGAATTCATGTAATTACAAGGCGAAAAAAGCTTGAAGACTATTGTTTGCCTGTTCTGCCTCCCTTTATTCTTTCTATTTTTATAGACTAAAAGCCAAACAAAACATTCTCTAAAAGATGGATAATTTTTCCAGGTAAAATATCTACTACTGCTATGACATCTAACTTTTATCGTATTATAAAATTCAATTCTATGATTATAAACAAATAAAATAGGGTGATTGTAGATATAGGGGGTTTAATGTAAACATATAAAAGAGGAAAATATTATAAGAGGAGAGTAATGTATAAAGATGAGTAAATACACTTGCATGTAATCAGCACTGACAGTGCACTCCACAGAACCACAGCAAACAAACTAAAGGAAAGAGGTGTCTTATATACAGCCTCTTACCTGACCAGCCACTGAGACAGCAGGAATTGAGGGTGCCAGACTGAGATCCAGAAAGAAAAGGCACGTTTTCAAAAGCTTTCAGTAGTGTCTGCAACACTGTCACTGTAAGTAGGTGCTCGTGGCACAGTAGCTGGTAATAATAGATATCAGGATGATACCAGCCTACTTGCTGTTTAAATAAAACTGTGCGTGCCTTTTCTCCAAGTCTTGCTCAGTCTGCAACTGAACAGCCCAAAATGTTTTCTGAAACATGTAAAGAGAAAGATTTTAAACAAGGAGAGCACCTGAGGAATAACACGTGTTTTAGCTCATCTTAACATGTGTTAAGTCCCTCTTAAAGCAGGACGTTTCGGGTAGAAGTAGTTAAAGTGAAAATATCTAATACAGTAGGAAAAGAAGGAATTAATTAACCCATGAAATCACCAACATGACAGGTTTATAAACAAAATGATGGAACTATTTTTTCTGAAATATTTTAATATTTATAAACAAACATAAAATTATAAAATGCAGAGAGGTGTTCTTACTTTCATGAAAATTTCTTCATTAACTTAATAAGCCCTTTGCTGAACTAAATGTACTCACAGACAAGAAAAGGCGAGGTCTCTGGAATATGCTATTTAGTTTTCCACCTGAATTAAAACATACATACATCTTCTTCAGTTTTGCTTAATTAAAAGAGAAGTAACAGTCAATCAGCCACAAAGTTATTTCTGCTGGGCAGGGATTCAGCAGGAAGTTCTCAGCAAGACTTTTTGTACCCACAATCACTATAACTAAGGCATGACTTTTTTAGCATGTAGTAGCATTAAGCTGTCCTGATTGCTTTGACATGCTTTTGCTCAGCAGGAAAATGCTGAAGAGAACAGCAGCTGCCCTTCTTGGTGCTCTACTGCAGGGAGATTAATCCTCTGGGTTTACACAGTTGTTCAAAAAACATTAAGAGGAAAAAGGTTGCTAAAGCACCAGAGGCACCAAATGGGAAACTGCTTTCCCAAACTTTTACTGATATTAAGGCAAAGTGTGGCTTATGCTTTTAAAATCTTTACAGTAGCACCTTCCAAAACCAGTCCATATATTAAAGATCCATATCACAGAATACTGCTTCATATTATCAAAAAGGGACGGGTGTGTCTGCTACATTATGACCATAAACTGGAAGGGAATCTTTTCCAGTCAAGACAGTACATGAAAGTTATTCATCTAACAGCTTCCAAAGTTGTAAACCCAGTTCAACTGGCTACCAGGCTCTGACTGTGCTTGGTACAAAACAACTGGTATGTACCAGTGAATCAGACAAAAACTCAAACTAAAAACAATTTCAACATTGGTATTTATATACATTTGCAGTATTAAAAACAGTCTTACTGGGTTTCATGGACTTTTCCTCATTGGGAATGCCCTAACAAATTATGCTGAGGCTGTTATAAAATTGATTGCAAGAGTTAATTAAGCTTTAAAATTAAAGTAGAAACAATTGTAAGCCAGGAAATGTTTGAGTAAAACTTGAAAGAAATACAGACTTGTTAAAGCATAGAACTTCATAAAGTATTTTCCAAGCATGGTTAACTCTTTCCTGTAGCAGTCCTTTAGTTGGAAAATTGGTCCATTTTTAATATTATTTTAATCAGGGGTTACAATATCTTATTCCAGTAAATGATGTCAAACACTTAGTATTAATGTAGTGTTCCTGCTGTCAATAACTTTGTGAAATATCTAAACCTCTTCTGTTAATTAATTGTAACATCAGTTCACTGTGTGAGGCTTCATTTTAGGAAATAGCAATATAAACCACATATGGCTACTGAGAGAATCACAAATAAGAAATAACCTAAAAGGAACAGAATGGTTGCCAGTACAAGACCAAAGGTTAAGTAACTCTCAGAACATGAGGTTATGGGTTGAAGTAGTTAATGGGAAATTATCCCAGAAATACACTTCAGAAAATGAACTAATTAACCCATAACATCACCAGAATGACAGGTATTTAAACAGAAGGGTGGGAATAACTCCTTTTTGGGAAATCTTCTTCAATATTTATAACATAACTGGTCCAAATATGACTCAAAAAATTAAATTTGAATTGTGTAGAATTCCTTAATATCTCTGTGTTTCTCAGTAGTGGTTCAGTTACTCAAGAAAAAAAGTATTCTTAAAAGCAAGTTTTTATATTTTGTCTGCTTCAGTTTAGGGTGTATTTCTGTAACACCTTAAGCCAACCCAATTTACAATTGCCATAGTCTGGCCCTCCACCCTACCCTTAGGTACTCAGTGATTTTTGCTGGTGTGAGCACTGTGCAGTAAGCAAGCTGAGGGAATTGAGCCAGTTAAGAACTAGCTCTCCAAAGAAAGCAACATTCTGTCTCAGTTCTCTGAACTGGCTCATTATATGGTAGCATGAGTGGCACCAGGGAGGGACCTCAGCAAGCTCAGTTTCATGCACATTTGATATAAGGTCCTAAAGAACCCCTGGGACCGTCAGCTGTCCAACAGTCAGCGGTTAACCATCTTTATATGAGCCCCCATAGCTCACAGTCTAAATAGTGACTTGAACTATAATTAGCTCCAGGTTCCAATAATACAGCAGCTAGTAAATTAAAGAGATGAAACTTCACTAAACCTGATACTTCTGACAAGGGAACAGTAACATCTTTCAGCAGAAAGCCACAAATCAGCCAGCATGATTTGTTAAAATGGTTAGCTAGAACCAATGGAGGAAATGTGCAGTGAGATAGCTGAAACAGGTCCCACACTTCCCTGTTACAGAAAGGAGGTTTTCTGCATGTTTCCTCATATGACCCTCAGAGGACTGACTTAACTCACTAAACCAGAAGGAAACCTCTCACTTTTGCTGTGTTAATTCTCTGCCTGGGGCAGTTTATAGTGAGAATGGAATCACCTTTCAGAAGCAGGAGTTATTTTCAGCTCAGCTCAGCTCATCCTGCCACCTTTGCATCTAAGGCTATGGATGCCCATCCTGGTCTAACTGCTGCTGGGATCAGTGAACAGGTTACCTCTGCCAGCCACCTACACAGCAATGTACTGAACATTCCCTTTTCAGTGACAGTTAAAATAAGCCCCATTAGTCTACACAGTTTAAACAGCAGATCTTCCTTCACTGCCTTTGAAAATCGGGATGGAACCTGTATACTGATCTTAATTTTATCACCTTAGTTTTCTTCACCAACAACCCACCTGCCTATGCCCCAGAGCCAGTTCTCTGAGGCATTTTATGGGTGTGTACCAGAGCTTTCTCATTATGCACCTATTTTGTAATGAGGCCATAAGACACATGTGAAAGACAGAGCTTTGCATATAGCCCTTTTCTATTCCTCTGCTGTCATGCCTACTACACACCTTCCCCATAAAACACATAATAATTTGTACCAACCAAACACACTTATTAAAAAAAAAGAAATAAAGTACTGGTAAGGATGACTTTGCTGCCTCAACGTAAATTGTCACAATTGCCAGCCTTGTGCTAAAGTGTAGAGGAGAAAAAAATAAAAGCTTTTGAAACATGGGATATCTGCAGGTTGGATCAAAGGGCAGTCTATGGAGAATTAATGCAGGGCAGCAAATGCACAATCCCAGGTTTCTGACCTGCAAGACTTGCAGGAAAAGTCAGCCCAAGCCAAGGCCAGGTACAGTACAGAAGTCACTGGAATTGGCTCAACTTGACTGAATGCCAGAGCACACGCTTAATCTAGGGAACAGAGCCAGACCTGACCCCACTTGCAGGGCCTTTGCTGCTGTTTTAAACATGTCTCTTTACTGTGCCAGGTAACAGACGAAAGATTATACTAATTTAGCAATTAAAGAATTATTAGCAAAAGAAGGAATGTTTTGATCTGCACCAGTTAGCCAGACTGCCATTAATGCCAACTGGGTATATTAAGTATAAATATCTCTCTGACAACACTTTAATCAATTTGAAAAAATTAATGAGTTTAGACTACATGATAAATTATAACAGCTAAATCTCAAAAACCTGTCCTTTACTCATTTACACTTAAACCTAGTGTAACCTAGCCTTTAAGGTAAATAGCAGTTATAGCAACAGTTGTAGGAAATAAATGAAATATTTACATCTGTTTGTACTTTGAGACTAATAAGAATACAGTGATAGGCAATACCAGCTTAATGGTTTCTTCCTTCCCTCTGCACCACAGAAGCATGACATCTGCTCAGCTGTTTTGGCATGACCACTGTGAGATCACCCTGTGAGCAAGACCCAGGGAACTGAATCAGCCCCATGCTTGATATGGGGGAAGAGGGAGGGGATTGTTCAGCTCAGAGCAATTCCTGGGTCTGATCCACTGTGTGGCCCCACAAGACGCTGTGTCAGCACAGCTGTTCATTGATGGTGTAGTGACTGCAATAAGCAACACTGACCAAGGATATCTTAAGTTAGTACTGCTTCCAAATGCTTTGTGTCAAGACAAGTGTAAGAGCAGTACCAGACACTATGCATGCCTACAAGGAGCAATAGCTCCAGAGAAACACTCCGATACACTGTCTTTGGATCCATGTTCTTTACAAATGCCAGTAAAAACCCTGTGAGCAAGTACGTATCTCAAGGATAAATGCTGCAAATACATTGATGTAGAGTGACTTCAGAAGAAAACCTGTGATGAGGCTACTCAATACTGAAACTTGGAGAAAATGACTCTGCATAGAATCATAGGATAGCCAGGGTTGGAAAGGACCTTAAGATCATCAAGTTCCAACCCTCCCCCCCCCACCACAGGAAGGGACACCTCACACTAAACCATCTCACCCAAGGCTTTGTCCAACCTGTCCTTGAACACCTCCAGGGGTGGAGCATTCACAACTTCCCTGGGCAACCTATTCCAGTGCCTCATCACCCTAACAGGAAAGAATTTCCTCCTTATAGCCAATCTAAACTTCCCCTGTTTAGTTTTAACCCATTACCCCTTGTTCTATCACTACAGTCCCTAATGAAGTGTCCATCCTCAGCATCCCTATAGGTCCCCTTCAGATACTGGAAGGCTGCTATGAGGTCTCCACGCAGCCTTCTCTTCTCCAGGCTGAACAGCCCCAACTTTCTCAGCCTATCTTCATATGGGAGCTGCTCCAGTCCCCTGATCAACCTCGTGGCCCTCCTCTGGACTTGTTCCAGCAGTTCCATGTCCTTTTTATGTTGAGGACACCAGAACTGCACACAATACTCCAAGTGAGGTCTCACAAGAGCAGAGTAAAGGGGCAGGATCACCTCCTTCAACCTGCTGGTTATGCTCCTCTTGATGC